CAGAGTGCCAGGCTGTCTCACGGCTTGTCTTTCTAGTACCTTCTGGAACCTCACCTCCTCCTCCAGAAAGCCTTCTCAGATGGATCAGAGGAGAATAAAGATGTTCCTGTCTGAGTGTGGGAGTCTTGTGGTCACAGTAGTAAGCTTCTCATTCATCCTCACTTACCCTGTGAATATTTGACTCTAGCTGTGTGTAGGAGGACTCACGTTTGTCTCTGCTGGGCGTAAGCCCCACCTGTCTGTCAACATCGCCGGTCTGTCTGCAACAGCTTCACTTCTGTGGAAAAATTAGCGGCAGCCCAATGAGTAGTTTCAGTGAACAGCTGGTTGGTTTTATCAGAAGAAGGAACCTGTGTAAATATGGCTGTGGGGGCCATGGCTCTGAGCCTACACTTCAGGAGGGCCATAGTGCCCGCCGGCCTTGTTTTGGAGAAATCCATGGAGGTGAGGGGACTTGAAATTGCCTCGCATGGGGAGCAAGTGAAGGAACTGGGGGTGTTCAGGCAGGAAAGTGCAGACTCAGAGGGTCAGCAAACCACTGCTCTCGAGTGTGAGATGAGCTGTCAAGGGGAAGTGGGATTCCACTTTGTGTGTCCCCAAGGAGGGGAACTAGGAACTACAGCCAAACAGGTGTGGGCACATCATGAGGAACAGCAGCTGTGTCAAATCCTTCTTTAGAAGCAAGTGGCACCTAAAGAGTCAGAACTGTCCCCAGAAGAGGGTTATTTTGCAGTACTTGGAGCCACCTGGGCCCAGCTGGGCAACTTCCAGAGAGGGGTGTCACAGAGGGCCACCTGAGAGGACTCGGCTTCTCTGGCCTGGGATATCCTGGAGGGCAGGGCCAGCCCTCCTCATTGTCCATTGCCCACTGCCCACTGTTCAAGGAGGCGGGGGCCAGTGTGTGCTGAGGGTGCCAGGGGGTCTGCCAGAGGCTTCTTACCTAGGTTATCCCATCGAATCATGGATTTTCGATGATGTAATGAGAACAATGACGATTACAGGGGGGAGAGCAGGCCTTTGTCCTTCTCTGCCCTCTGCTGGTCCTGAACAAGACACAAAGGGGCAGTAAGCTCCATGACTAAGGGAAACCCTGGCCCTGGGTTTAGGGTTCTAGACTCTCTGAGGTGCAGGCCTGCTGTGGGGTCATCAGGTGGCCCTTTGGCCACCCTCAGATTTCCTGCCCGCGTTCATTTTCTGGTTTCCCTCCTGAACATGCCTGTCCTTCCTTCCTCCCCTGCCTGCATTACCCAGCCAAGAGGCCCAATATCTGCTGGAAGGAGGCATCTCCGAGTGGCCCCACCAGCAGAGTCCCCTGTAAGCCTTCCTTAGGGTTGGCTGAGAGGCCAGCTGGGGACCAGGGGCTCCATTTAGGATCATGGGCTGTTTTCTCTTGGCTTGAAAAACAAATACCTCCCCCTACCCAGCCTCCCCTTACAATATGCAGGAGCATCCTGACAGAGCACCTGGTGTGGGTCTGGGGCAGGGCCCCTGCTGGTCTGGGCTCAGGCGGGAGCACTGGGCTTGTGGGGAAGAGAAAGGTGTGCAGGCTCTGGGGAGGGGAGGGTGTCCTGGCTCAGGGGATCTCTCCTGGTGACTGTTCCCTTGAGGGTGGGCTCAGTGTCTCCTGTCTGCCTGCCTGGCTTCTAAGTATGTGGTCTGTGTCCCAGCCCCACTCAGGCCTGGAGGGAAGCCCACCTGTTGTGCTCTGAGTGATGGAGGAGCGCAGAAGTGTGGTGCAGAGGAAGGAAGTCCTCAGGTGTTCCACGGAGGGAGCTGAGGAGGTAATTCGGGAGTGAGGCTGATGAAGGAGGACTCAGGGAAGAGGAGCCCGGTGACAAGGTGGAACAGAACGGCCAAGAGATCTGTTCCCTGTCTGTAGCCCATGAAGGAGCTCCCAAGGTGCTGGAGAGTGGCAGCTGGAGCAGCCGTGAAAGCAGAGAGCTGGGCATTTAGTCTCAAAATAGTGGCGAGATTTCTGTCCCTCCTCGCTCTCTTCATCCGGCTCCTTGAGGCATGTGCTCCTTTACACGGCTGACACATTTGTTTATGCAAAACTCCCTCCACCCCAGATGGAAAGGACTTAGAGGACCAGGGTACGAATGGCCCTGGTGGCCTGGGGTCCCCACTCAGGGAGAGGTAAAAGGAAGGGCAAATGAACACCTGGGTCCAGGGTGCTGCTGCTGGCCTCTGGGTGGGGAGTAGTCGTGGGCTAGGGAGCTGGAGGGAGAGGGGCAGGGAAAGAGGCAAAGGAACCGGCTAGTCAGAGGGAGGATGGTGTGAGCAGGTGTTTCCTTCCTTCTAAGGAGACAGGAAAGGGCAGAGCCAGGCTGGGGTCAAGTGCGAAGATCAAGCACAGGGACAGGCCTCCACGGCCAGTCTGTTGGGGGAAGAGTCCAGGTCTGTGCCAGCCCAGCTCTCTCCCCTCTGGACATAAGAAAACTACCCGCAAAGAATTTCATGCCTCAGTGTCTCCCTGCCTCCCAGCCTGAACATGTATGCTGTGTGTTCTCCCAAGGCAGGCCGCTGCCTTTCTGTTCTTTGCCACCCTCACCCCAGCAGCTGCTGTGGGCCTGGTGATGAGTGGTCAACGCTTCTTGAACTGAACCGATGGGTGGCGGGGATTCCGTATGGGTCAGGTGGCTTGGTCAGAAAGGATTCTGGGACAGGCCAACTTGTGTCTCTGATGGAAACCAAGGAACAGAGCAGGAAATACAACTGACATTTCTTCAGAGCCTAACTAGCGCTGGACATATTCTCTGGTTTGATATGTCATCACTGTTTTCCAGATGGTGAATCTGAAGACCTCCATGTTCACATAGTGGCCTTTAACTCAGAGTCAGGGTTTTCAGCCCCCACAACTGGCCGAGAACCCCAAGGCTGAGCTCTTTCCAGAGGTCAGTGGGACCTTCAGGAAACAAGATGGAGGGTGACCCTGGGAGGCCAGTGACCTGCTGGTGGGGGATGGAGTGGGTAGCCTCAGGTCTGGCCTGTGAGTGCCAAGGTGCGGCAATAGCTCCCTGGTGGCCGGAGCTGGGGCTGGCGCCTCCTAGGAGAGAAGGAGACAAAGGAGCAGAGGACACAATTCAGCATCTTCTCAAGACTGAATAACCATGTGGGAGGGGTCACTCTGCCGGGGTAGGCTGGTGGAGGGAGCAGGAAGGGGATGTGGCCTGCGGCTGAGTTCTGTCTTGGAGAGCCAGAGACATGACACCAGAAAATAACCCAAGATAGAAGAGCCCTGGGGACCCTGCTTAGGCCCTCCAGAAGTTCTCTCCTCCATCCTCTGCCTCTGGATTAGATTTCCCTCCAGACACCCTAAGCTGGAGCCAACAGTTTCCATTCTGAGCTAGAAGTTTCCGTTTCCTTGTGTGTACTTGGGGAGAATAGTAGTCACTTCCTTTAAGTCTTTGCTCAAATGTCAGCTGAGTGAGGCCCTCCCTGAGCTCTGTTTCACGTTGTAATGCTGCCTCCCCAGCCCTCTAGATCCCCTTCCAAGTTTGTTTTTCTCTATAGCACTTCTTACATTCTAATATGCTATATTATCTCTCTCTCTCTCTATCATCCATCATCTATTTATCTATCATCTATCTATCCACCATCATCTATCTATCATCTATGTATCTATCTATCAGCTATCTATCATCATCATCATTCATCTATATTTCATCATCTATCTCTCTCTCATCATCTATCATCTATCTATCATCTATGTATCTATCTATCAGCTATCTATCATCATCATCATTCATCTATATTTCATCATCTATCTCTCTCTCATCATCTATCATCTATCTATCATCTATCATCACCTAACATCTATCTCTCATCATCTCTCATCTCTCTATCATCATCTCTCTGTTTATTCATTTTTGTCTGCCCCACCTCCACCCCGAATGCTAGTTCCACAGGTCAGGGGGCTTTGCCTATTTTGTTCATTGTGTCTCCAGCACCTAGAAGAGTGCCAGGTACATAAGAAGCACTCAATAAATACTTGTTGAATGAATAAGTGATGGATGGTTGAACAGGACTGTTGTAAGGATTAAACACATTACTGTATGTAAAGCATTCAGTGGGACACCTAGCACCTTATTATTACTGCTGTAGTTTGTTAGATGTGACTTGTGCAGATTCCTCTCTGGCTCTGTTTCTCCATCTGTAACATGAGGAAATTGAGTCACTAGATGATCTCTGAGCTTCCATCGGTTTCTAAAAGTCCTGCAGTTCTATGATCTCCATGTCCCCAAATGCTCAGAATCAGGCAAGTTCTTCCCCAAGCTCATTGCCCGCAGTTCTCAGCAGCAGCTCTGCTGAGTGTGGAGGGGATAAGCACCCCTTTCGCGGCAGCTCTTCCTCTATTTCTTCTGACTCTGAGGATCAGAATGGGGCATAGGTCTGGGACCACGAGTCAGCTTGATATTTCTTGGAACGGTTTCCATTCAGATAATGTTTTATTTTAATTAGCCTGTATTGCTTCATAACATTTCATTGTTTTCAATAGAGGCAATTCATTACGTGCATAATTAGAGGTCATTTGATTTTAATTTCTTTGTTACGAGTTTTCATAGAAATAAAGTTCAGAAAAATTTTTTTTTGCCAGACCATGCACCCTGATTTGAGAATTGGACACATGGTCCTTGGAGACGAAGGTTCATCATGTCCTGCCCTGAGTGGGCTCTGGCCCCTGTCCTTGGACGCCCCCTATGGAGACAGGGTCATACTTCATAGGCCTCAGGAGTACCTGTTTTAAAGGTTCAGGTTGGCAGGACTAAGACCGTCCTCCTAGGGCCTGGGCCCTTTCTCTCAGACTTCCCCCCTGAAAGGGGCAGTCTGGAACCCCTGTGTCCCCACAGCTGACTCTGGGGGCAGTTTCAGGAGTACAGGTAGCTTCACACTCACAGTATCTGGTATTTGCTGAGTAACTGGGATGGCCTCGAAGGAGGAGCAAGGGACAGGTCTGGCTAGTTCTGCCGTGTTGTTTATACTTGAAATTACCTCACATATCCCAACCGGCTTCTCCGCCCCATCTGGTGGGGGCTGGCCCTCAGCCCTCCAGCCCCCTTTTCCCCACATGTTCCGGAAACCAGGGGCCAACATGGATCTTCCCATCAACATCAGCTGAGCCTGGAAGCTTCACCCCTTGGGAGACCATGGAAAGGGACAGCAGCCGGGTGAGCGTCTGTGGGCCTTGGGCCAGAACCTCCGGGTGCTGAGGAATCAGGGACGGGGCTGTGAGATAGGTGGGGCACTGGCATCTGTGTGCCTCAAGTTTTAAGGGAAATCGAATGTACCTTTTCTAGTTTGAAGCAATTTGGGATTAAGATTGCTTCGTCTCATTTTATCATGGTTCCTAGAAGGGGTCCCTGGAAGGAGAAGGTGATAGGATTCGGGATCTTGTCAGGAAGCACCACAGGGCTGTCTGGCTGAATCCCGGGCTCCTGCTCTGTGGCCTGTGAGCACCCCGGCCAGGACATCTCTGCTGTTAGATATCAGCTTCGCTGGTTTGGGAATCATGGAAACTTAGCATTCTAACTGGGCTTCATGGTTATCTTGGCCAAACCCCTCACTAGACTCATAAACCATCCTAGAAAATGCAACTTTCTACGTGCATTTAAGACCTTCAAGAGGATTTTTCAACCTCCCTTGGCCATTTATTATCAGGCTTAATAATCTTCCTGCTTGGAAAGTGATTCCTTAGGTCTAACCACAATTCCTTTGGATCCTTTCCTCTTCTGTTCTTGGTGGTGGCAGAGAGCAGCTAGAATGTCCTCTGTGGAAAAACCAGTTATATACACATGAAGGCTTCCAAAGATTTTGTTCAACTATGCCTCAGCTTTCTTTTCTTGAGGGACATTCCTCTTGTGCTCTAACTTCTCCTTAGGTCTGGTTTTCTGCTCCTTTCTATCTTCTTTTGTTCTTTATTGATGTGGTAGAATCTGGGGCTCTGGGAAGGGTGGGGCAGCACTGGGTTTGAGAAGGATCAGCTCAGCCTATGTTCTGGCTTACAGTTGGCTTGCGGTCCATTCTGAACCCCAGATATGTTTCTGCAACCTTTACCATCATCTCTTTCATCATTCTTCCAGCCTCCTCTTGACTTTTCTTTCCCAGGCTTCTCCCCTGCTTTCTGCTCTGATCTCCTTCGTTCATGTCTCCACCTCACCAAGGTCATTCGGCCCTAGGCCTCTGGGGCTCATTGGAGCCTCTGGTGAGCAGTAAGCGTGATGCATGGGGCAGAATGAAGTTTTGTCTGGGGCATGGGGAAGGTGAACCAACAGTCACAGCCATGGGGCATGTTCTTTGGTAACTTGTTGAGCCTAAATTTGATGGTCTCTAAACACAAAGGGTGAGAAGGGCTGAGTTATCTGAAGGGTGGTAGGGCCAGTCCCTGGGGTAGAGTGACAGAGGTGATATCTGCCTAGGGAGCTCATCTCAGAGTCAGGGACCAACATGGAGGGTCACTGAGGTGGGCACAGGGTGGAGAGCAGGCTTTTCATTATTGATGGAATAAGTGTCAGATGGTGTGGTAGGTGCCGTGTTCATCCTGGGAGACTGTCCTAACTTACTTTGGAATGAAAGAACTGAACCATTACTTCTTTACATAAGGTTCTTAAATTTGCACGCTTGTTTAAGTAGAACCTTCAGATGGTGATCCTGAGGTGGGAGCAGGGAGAGCTGTCCGAGGCTCTTCATCTTAATCTGTAGCAGATTTCTTAAGACTGATTAAATTGAATAGGAGGCCACTGGAAGAAACTGGTCGCCTAAGGCTGTGCCTGCTCCCCGAAGACTTCATACAGAGATATGCACTGTGATTTTTGTCCTTCAGCTCCATAAAGTAGTGAGGAAGATGGTGGCCGATGGGCTTCAGCCTGATGAAGCTCCTGTGTGAGTTGGTTGGGTCTTCAGGGGGATCTTGGAAAGTGGGTGGAGAAAGCTCTCAACTTCTCTGTATTCAAAAGAGAAGCTGCATTATGTGGTGGACAGAACACTGACCAATTTCCAGGTCAGCTGTGACTTTGGGCAAACCTTTCTGCACCTTAGTTTCTTCATCTGTAGAATGGAATAAAAATAGTATCTACTTCAAGGAGTCTTAGGATAGTGTCTTTCACATAGTAAGACTCTTTAAGAATAACATCTGGCATAGATAGATATAGATATAGATATAGATATAGATATAGATATAGATATAGAGGTAGAGATATATTCATAGAGTGTTAAGATTTACTGTCATCATCATCATCATCATTATTATCATCATCTAGGGTCTAGTCTCGGCTTCCCTAAAAATTTGGACAAATATCTTCTGTTCTCTGTGCCTCAGTTTCCCCACCAACAAAAGAAGAGGATTGGAAAAATTGCCCCCTGAGGCCCCTTTCTGGTTTTATGACAGCCTCTGGAATTATATAGAATGGAATTACAGGTCTGTCACACTGGATATGCACATATGTTCTTGAAAAATAGTGCGTATTTTGTGTTTTTTCAAAAGGCATCACATTCTTAATGCTTGAAGAAGTGCAGTGTTTATTAAAGGAAGTCTGAAGTAGACCCATTGATAAAGCAACAATCCTTTATAGAGTGAAGTTCCTTCTACTGGGTCTTCTTAAAGTGGAGCAGGTTCTCAGTCAGCCTAAAATCACAGATGCTGCAGACTTGAGAATGGCTGGAGGTCCCAGGGCTGATTAGGATGAGCACCCTCCCCAGAGGGGACTGGGCAGGTTCCCAAGACGGCAGACCAGTAGGCTCAGGCCACTCTGCCTGACCCCAAAGTGCAGGCATCCCCAGGACTCCTGGCACCTGCCCTGTTCCCCTGCAGGCACACAGCCCTCACCTGAGACCTCTGTGTTTCGTGTTGTCATTGGTGCTAAGCAGCCTTCCGCCTGGCCCATCCCACCCTGCCGCCCCCAGCATTGGCCTGTGACTTGGCAAACACGAGCGCGGATGTGTGGGAGTGTGTGTACGGGGCTGCAGGCTGTGGTGCTGGGTGGGAAGGCCGACTGATGTAACAAGAGCCACTTAGCTTAAGTGTCTTGTTTTGGCAAAACAGATTCCTCTTGGTACAGCAACAACAGGGGTGGACTGTGCCCAGCCAGGCAGGCAGGGTGCTGGGTAGGTGGCATGAGGAAAGCCTGCACAGAGCCCAGGGCTTGGTCAGCCAAGCGCGGGCCTTAGCAGCACCAGGAGGAGCCTGGCTCCTCTGATGGGAAAGCAATACCTAGACCTGTCCAGGGAGCCCCCATTGTGTACCAGCCCTGAACTATGTCACCCTCCAATATTGGCAGAGAGATGACACAGGGAGAAACTGAGGCAGCAAGTTCCTGGGCAATAAAATGTTGTTTGTTTGGCAATAGCGGGCACTCAATGTTCTTTAAACTTTTTGATGAATGAATAAATGAATGAATGAATGAACAAGGAAGTGTTTTGATTCTGGTCTAAAGGGGATGCCCAAGGCTTTTTCATGAGTATAGGAGGCATCATAATCTAGAAGAAACTTTAGAGCTCACCCATGCCGTAACTGTCAAGTTCTTTGGGGCAGCAGCCTCTTTTGTTCAAATGAAATCTTACGTGGAGCCCACTGTATGCAACTGAAAAGTGAATCTTCTCTGTGTGAAGTGAGATAAATGACTCAGAGCCCTTTACCTACTAAACTGGTCTCCAAGGCCTCTCCATGGAACCTCTAACGCTCTGTGGAACCCTGTTTGAAAACAGGTGGTTGTCCAACCCCTTCATTTTACAGGTTAAGGAGCTGGGACCCAGAGAGGGATGTGACTGTCCCTAAGGTCTCACAACTGGTTGGGAGCAGAAGCCAGACTGCCTTGTGTCTCCCATGCCTGGGACAAGGGAGGCCTCTGGTTCTGGCTTCTTATTCTGGAGCACAGTCTGATTCTGGGCTGATGGGGGTCCCTGAGGTTAACACTGTGTGGGGGGTAGTGCTGGTGGTTGGGTGGGAGTAGGAGCTGCTGAGGAATCTGCCTATTCTCTGAGGGGAGCCTGTATTTGTGGGTTTCTCTCAGTTCAGAGCGGGCAGAGTAGGAGGGAGCCCTGTGTACCTGGAGGCACAATGAAGCCTGGGTTGAGCAGTGAGGATGGGAAAGAAGCCATGATCCGCTCCAAGCCAGTCCAGACCAGCTCCATGGAGGCCATGAGTCCAGTCCAGTCCACGCCAGAAGGGGTTCAGGCCCCCCCTGCCATGGCCCAGGAGCTCCCCAGGCTCCTAACAGGAGTTTTAGGTCCTGTTAAAGGGAGCTCCTGATCTTCCTTGGTACCCACTAGTGCTTCCAGTGGGGACTGGGGGCATCTCTTCCTTCCTAGCCCAGAGTGCTGGGGTGCTGGCCTGGGGGCCTGCCTGTGCCCACCCTTTGAACATCCTGGATACTCAGGGTCACTGGGAGAGAGAAGCTGCCACAGGGACCTAAGTCTGGGGGGGCTCCTTTCTCGCTGAAGCTTGGTAAGAGGCGGGCAGTGGGAGAGCACAGAGACGTGCAGGAGACAGAAGACCAGGGCTCTGGTCCAGGCATGGCCCCCAGGTGGCTGTGTGACCTTAGACAAGCCACATTGCCTTCCCGGGCCTTAATTATCTCATCAGTAGGATAAGGGTTGGACTAGAGGGTTTTCAAGATCCTTCTGGCTCTGGCAGGCTGTGATGTGCCCAGCCTGCCCCAGGCTGGGGGCTTTATGAAGGGATGGCCCCGGCTGAGGAGGGAGGCCCAGTCAGCTTGGGCCTTGACTGGGCCTTGGACTTGAAGGGGCCTTGATGGACCTGCCCTTGGGCCGTGAAGATGTGTTGAAGTCACTGCTGTTGCAAGTGGACGTCCTTTAGGTCTAGTGTGAGACCTTTTTATGGGGTACTTCTCCCTGCCTGCTGGGGGATCTGAGTGACCTACAGGGCATCTGTCCCAGAGCTCAGGCTGCCGCCTGTGGTTGGAGAACAGTCTCTCTGAAAAGCTGGGGGCTCAATCCGTGGCAGCAGCCATATAACCACTGCAATGAAGCAATCCATGAGGTGGCTGTGACATCACTCAGCACAGCAGAGGGTCCTTCTCCTCCCGGCATCACTGGCTGGGCCTGCAGGAGACCCAGAGAAGCCAAGGGCAGGACACACTTGGGGGATTGTTAACTTACTCCCATCCCCCACCGCTAAGGGCCCATGGGGCAGAGTCTGCCACAGGAAACTATA